ATCCCACATGCCGCGGAGCAGCTAAGTCTGTGTGCCACAACTACTGAGCCTGTGCTCTAGAGCCCGGGGAACCGCAACTGCTGAGCCTGAGTGCCCTAGATTCGGGGCTCCGCAACAAGAGGAGCCACTGCAACGAGAAACCCATTCACTGCAACTAGAGAGTGGCCCTCGCTCGCACAACTAGAGAAAAGTCCACCCAGCAGTGAAGACCCAGCACAGCCAAAAATACACAAATTTTTTTTTTAAAGCAAGTTAAATTCTAGACGGCAGGCCCATCCGCATGTCGGAGGAGATGTGTGTAGTGTGAAACAGGATAATCCAACGTCATAATTTTATATTCGGAAAATGGAAAGAACAGCTCTATTATTTTCATAATTCAAACTGTAAAAAAATGAAGTTACTCAACATCTTCTTGGTGGGCACACAGACCAGGAGGAGCAACCACTGTCTCCTGGGTGGCCACACAGCAGGATCTCCGGGGAAGGGAGGTAATATACAAAGTATTAATATCATGTGTTTAATATGCATAAAAATATATGCATATTACATATTTTACATACAGTTTGTATGTTTATTTAATAAGCATAGTTTAAAAATCTGGAAAGTCATAGCGTGAACTGTTGTTTTCTCAGGGAGGTAGATTGTGGGTGGTCTCTATGCACACTTGTACATTTCCCTACTTGGGTACTAAAAGTTGACAAAACTCTTTTTAGAACCCTATTCAAATTGGAGCCATCTTTTTGGAGAACAATATATACTACACGCCATAAAAAACAGGCATGCCTTTTGGCCCAGTAATTTTACTTCTAGTAATGTACCTGAAAACAATAGATTGGCACAGAGATTTATGTTCGAAGGTGCCCAAGAAAGCATTGCTTAAGCTGATGCAGCTTGGAAAATTAATTATCCAACAATAAGGGAAGATAAATGAATGATGAGGGTATCCGGGATGATGGAAGGCTAGGGAGCTGTTAAAATTCATGCTATGGACCATTGAAAGCCCTGGGAAGAAGTGCAGAGGTATTATTAAGGAAAATCTCAAACAATGACAAAAGGGCCAGATTTTGAGCTCCTGAGAACAAATATCACCTGCATCGATGACACACCAATGACATCTCCCCTATGCCAAACACCCTCAATTCATATTTTTCTGTTGTGGAATTCCATCTGGGATAAAACCAGTTCTGAATCCCTATGTCTATACTATGTGCACACACACACACATATACATTTATTTTACACATCATTCATTCATTAATAGACATGCCCTAAAAGCCAGGTGCTCTTACAAGCCCTGGGGACACAGGTGCACAGGGAACGACACAAACCCAAATTTCTGCTCCCCCAAAACGCACATTCTAGAGGGAGAGGCGGACAAGGAGGAAGGAAGATGCTGCGGGGCTTGCCAGCCCCCGCCGAGTGGGAAGAAGCCAGCGGAGGGCCTGGCACACACAAGCTTCCGGCCCCAGAAGCCAGTGGCCTCCTGGGACACACACAGAAGTCCCGGTAGCCCTTAATGTTGTGGGGCTTGGGCTCCACCTTCCGAGGGGGACCCCAGGTTCCGATCCTGCCTCCAGGGCTGAAAACCAGCCCCTTTGTCCTCTCATCCTGGCCTGTTCCTTCAAGTCCCTCACGTACCAGGGTACCACGTACCAAGGACCACACACTCTTGAAGGCTAGAGCCGTGAAATCCATTAAACGAGGGAGCCCCAGCGACTCCCCCAAGGGGCCTCCTAGAAGACTGGGGAGTCCAGTTGGGGCCCACTGGCCATCACCTGGCGTGGGCTTCCTCAGAATGGGTGTGTCCTGGGATGGGAGAAAAGGTTCTACAGCATTAAACCACATTGGCAACACTTTGAGGTGACAGCCTCAACTCGCAGCCCAAGGGCCCTGTGACCCTGGGGTCTGTGTGACATCCTGGCCCTGCTCGGGGCTTTCATCTGACTCAGAGCTGAGGAGAGGATGCCCCCTTCCCAGACACCAAGCCCCAGCCAGGGACAACCTTGTGTTTCCAGGCCCAGACTGTGCCCCAAAGTCCTTGCCTGCACCCTGGGCCTTGGTTCCAGAGGCCCCAGGCTCTGCACCGCCCCACCCTCTGCACGGCCTCTGCTTTGCTCCACCAGCCCCCCCGCCCCTGCCCAGGGTCAAGAGGAAGGTGGGGGGTCTCATGTGCGGGTGGAGCCCAGGAGGGTGAGAGGGAAGTCAGAGGAACTCAGGCTGGGGCCCGAGGGCAACTGGCGCTGGTGCCCAGCATGGCCTGGGGCAGGGTGGGGGTGGGGCTGAGCACTGGTCAGCAGACTCCCCCCTGCCTCACCTGTCTCACCCACTGCTGCCCAGGAGAGGCACACAGGCTTTCATGGGCCTGGGTGTGCAGCCACAGGGGCAGCTGCTCCCCACTGGGGAGGTCACAAAAGCAGCCCTTCCCCAGTCCTGGAGGGTTGGGTCTGTTCTGGAAAAGTCACCTGGCTCCTGCCAGCTGCCCCTGGACAGCACCTCCCCGCCGCTGGGCTGCACGCACCTCTCTCCTGGGCAGTCCCCCCTCCAGCTCCTAGAGGGGCAGTTGGGCACCGTCTGTACCACCCAGGGATCAAGGGCCACTGCCCAGCTGTTGACCTCACTTCACTGCCTTCTCTCTCCAAGAGAGAGGGTTGGTCAAACAAACCCAGATCCCCAGGCCCACACCGGCTTGTCCCCAGCCTGGCTCGGAACCCCACAACAAGGCTCCAAAGCTTCGAAGGAGCCCCGCTTCCGCTCACCCCTTTAACCTCCTTCCCGTCCTCATCCACAGCTCCCCCCGCAGCCCCACCGTTCATCAAAACCCCATCATCCTCCCTTCACGGTCCCCTCCCTCGCACGCCTCCCCTCCACTTCCCAGGCGCTGACCTCAGGGGGCTGAGCTCTGCTCTTGTTTGCAGCTCATTTCCCTCAGCCTGATTGGACAGCCCCCCCAAAAAACCAAACCAGCCTGACTTACCCCCATCACGGGTGAGTTGCCACCTCCTCCAGGAAGCCCCCCCCCAGCAGGGATTAGAGGCCCTCCTGGGGCTCCCACTGCCCACCCCCCCGCCCCCATTAGGGCGCTGAGCGCTTGGAGTTGTCACCGTCTGAAGGCTTGCTCTCCGCCCAGCCCCACTGTTTCGGCTCAGCGACCGAGGGGCCCAGACACAAGGGGCTGTGGCCCCTGCAGCTCTGAGGGGCGCCCCCTCACCTATTTCCAGGGTCAAGAGTCCCCGTGAGTGTCGGATGCCCTCCTCACCCGGGTCTGATCTGGGCACTTTGCCTTCTCAGCCCCTCTTTCCCCCAAAGGGAAAATATTAAAATACAAGCGCGCACACTAGGTCCGTGCCTCTGTTCCACCCCAGCTCAGGGACGCTGGACAAGGCGCGGTTCCTTTGAGCCTTTCCTCATCAAAAAGCAGAAATACCTCCCTCCTGGGATGTGTTTAAGCTTCAAGCGTGGAAAAAAAGTTGTGAACACCACGCCCAGCCCCTGCTTAGTGGACAGCAGGCACTGCACACGGGGCTGTGCCTTCCTGTTTCCCGTATGTGCAGTGGCAGCCTTTGAAGGGACGGGCCAGTGGTTTAGATTCCATGCTTTCAATGCAGGGGACGCAGGTTTGATCCCTGGTCGGGTACCTAAGATCTCACATGCCATGGTACAACTAAGCCCATGCACTTTAACGAAGACTCGATGCAGCTGATAATAATAATAATATAAATAAGTATTTTGGGGCTTCCCTGATAGCTCAGTTGGTAAAGAATCCGCCTGCGATGCAAGAGACCCTGGTTCGATTCCTGGGTCGGGAAGCCTCTGGAGAAGGGATAGGCTACCCACTCCAGTGTTCTGGCCTAGAGAATTCAGTCCATGGGGTAGCAAAGAGTCAGACGCAACTGAGAGACTTTCACTTTTTCCCTTTTCCTGAACAGAGGCTCATCTCACCACCAGGGGGCAGTGTTACCCACTGGCAGCTCCCAGCGCGGCCGGACGGGGCCTAACTCAAAATTCTTGTGAGGCCTGGGGTCCCCAGGGAGGCCCGCCCCCCTCCCGCCGCCCTACTAGGCAAGCCCGTCAGTCCTCATCAGTCCTCCGGGGCAGAAGTTCAGGGGATGCAGGGTGGTGGCAGGGGGCGTCCCCGGATCCTAGAAGAAAGGGGCAGTGCTGGGAGGAGGGGGGTGGCTGGGTGTGGAAAGTGAGGCAGGAGGGCGCAGTGGTTAGAGCCGGTTTGGAAGCCAGACACAAGCTGGGTTCAGAGCTGATCCCGCACTGCAGGGAGTCCACTCTGAGCTTTGATTTCCTCCTCTGCCAGAACGCTGGCTGAGTGCCCCTCCTACTTGCCCGTGGCAGGAGGTGGAGAGGGTGTCTCCCAGGAGTCTGCTTGCATTCTGGGTGGTGTAACGCCCTAGTCTGGGCGTGTTTGTGTGTTTGCCCCTAGATACAAGCCCACAAAAGTGTCCAGGGAGCCAGATCCTTGACCAGCCCGGACAGCAGCAGATGGCCAGGAAGCAGCAGGCAAGGCGCTGAGCTGGTCAGACACTTCTTAATGACTGAACCCACACAGTCTTAGACCAAGGGTCCAGGGGCACATTGGCGGTTTTCAAACCTCACAAATATGGAAGGAGCCAGAAAATTCCTTCTAGCGGTTGGTCCTTCAAAGCACATCATTCTTGATTGACAGCGCTTTGGAGCAACTAAAGCCTCAGGAAGAGAAGGCTGGTGGGCCCTCCCAATCAGCGCCTGTGCCAAGGAGAGAAACATCAAGCCGAGGAACTTGGCCGGAACACAGGGAAGTGTCAGCGGGGCACGAAGGCACACAACCCCACCCCCACCTCACTCAACTCCCATCCTACGGGAAATTCACACCCTGTCTGCCCTGGGCCCTCCCCAAGACAGAACTGGCAATGGTACCCAGGCCCCGCCATCACTGGGACTCTCAAGGGAGCTTTCCAAAAAGGCAGATGCCCAGGCTCCCCTCTTGACCAGCCGAACCAGAATCTCTGCGGTGGAGGTGAGAAGTCCTCATTTATTACATCCCTGGATTCAGAAGGTCATTAGGTTCCAAAACCTGAACCGAGTCTCTGTTCACTTTTCCCAGCATTGGGGAGGAAGAGGGAGGGAGGTTTTTACGGTGGAAGAATTTTCTATCAATCATGACGATCCATCTCTAAACGGTTCCAAAATCGGCCACTTCACCCAGGAATCCAGGGGACACACTGGCAAACACACACAGGCCCCCTGGGCCCAAGATCATGTGCTCAGTCAGTCGCCAGGAAACCAGGCCCCGGGGCCTGTCACAATCTCAAAGGGGCCATCGGTCCCCCAGGTTCAGCCCCGGTGGCTCGTGGCCAGGGGTCTGGCGGCCCAGGTGGCGTCCGTGGCTGGTCACAGGTGGCGGGCTGCCTCCCAGACAATCTGCAGGGCCATGGAGGCACAGGGGAGCTGGGCCAGAGTGTAGGCCAGGGAGCGGGTGGGCGCCCGCAGTTTCCCCAGGTAGGCCACGGTGTGTACCATGCGGCCCAGGAAGAAGACCAGGAAGTGCATCCGGGCGACGAAGGGGTTTGGCCCGAGGAAGCAGTAGACAAAGCCCAGGAACAGGAAGGGGTAGATGGTCTCCATGTCGTTCCGGTGGGCTCTGAGAAGGCAAAGGGGTGCGGTCAGCCAGGTGTCAGCTTTGAGAATGTCCTGGATGCTGGAACCCTCTGCCCCCAAAGGCCCTGCACCCCTGGGAATCATCTCTGGGGTGCCAGACTCACATCCGTTGTGGCCAGGACAAGGAGGTACCCCAGAGGCAGAGGGGGACCATGACTCCAAGCTGGTGCCTGCAAGCAGCTCAGGAAGTGCAGCCCTGTTAATGGCCTGGGAGCCATGAAGGGCTGCCACCTAGGTTTTCCTACCAAGCCCTAGGGCTCGCCAGGACCCAGCACCTTCCATGGTCTCCCCCGGCCTCCCCTCTGGCCTTGGACACCAGCAGGGAAAAGTGGGGTTCACTGGGGTTGCGTGAGAGCTGGGGCAGGGCCTAGGTCTGCCTCCAGCCCCTGATCATTTTTTTTTTTTCAATTTTGGCTGTTCCACATGGCTTATGAGATCTCAGTTCCCTGACCAGGAATTGAACCCAGGACACAGTAGTGGAAGTGCTGAATCCAAACCACTAGATTACCAGGGCACTCCCCAGTCCATGCTGTGTACCTTTCCCCAAGGCAGGGCTTTTCTGAGGCCGCTTCCTTCTGAATGCAGGTTCCTTGGCCCTCCCCAGTAGGACGGGCTAAGAGCACATGTCTGACAGCCACGCCTGGCTTTGTCTTCTGCCCCTAAATCTAAGCAAACCCTTCCTCCTCTCGGGGATTCAGGGATAACAGTAACAACTTCCACTCATGGAGCCAGCCAATCGCTGGACAGTAGTGAGGCTGTTTCATCTTTGCTACCCTGCTTCTTTCTTTGTTTAAAATGATCAAGTGTGTGTGTATATGCGGTGATGGGGGTGAGCGTGGGGGTGGCTGTGTTTAACCCGGCCATAAAAAAAATGACCAACAAAGAAAACTCATCCACTTCAGCTAAGAGCCGGTTCACATTTTCCATGACTCCTGCTAATGGGCAGCTTCCTCTGTGGAGGGAGGTCGAGTCCCATAAATTAGAGACTAAGCAAGAGACCAAAGCCAGAGATGGCATGCTGGAGGCGCAAATAAACAGGAACACAGTGCCCGAGCTGTGACCTCCCCTGAGGACAGGCCACATGTGTGAGGCGTGGAGATGCTGCTGGAAGCGAAGCCCCTTCTCCAAGCCTTTCAGCTGGAAGGTTTCACCAAGGTTGCACCAGCAAGCCAGGCCCAACAGCCCCTAAGTGGGGACCTGCTGTGGTCCTCCTCTTCCCTCCCACTCACGCAAAGAGTCTCAGCCAAGGGCCATGGCATGTGGATGCTAGGAATTGGGCAGGGCGGGGAGGAGGAGTACTCCACAATCCAGGGCTGCAGGGGTCTCTGCAGCATGACTAGGGTGGGTGTGGTCAGGGAAGGAAACATTTGTGGGGAAGCCTGAAAAATGAGGGGCCATCTGTGCAGGGATGAACTCTCCAGGGAGAAGGATGGGCAGGTGCAAAGGCCCTGAGGTGGGAATGGGCAGAGTGTGTTGAAGGCTCAGGAAGTGAGCATTCCACATGTGTCTGGAATGTGGTCATAAGAGGGAGTGAGGCAGGATCAGGATAAGCTGGGGAGAGAGCCCTCAAGAAGCAGAGTAAGGGGTCTGGAATTCATTCTGGGTGTACAAAAGCTCCCGTACAAAAACCCATCAGGGCCTGGATCTTTCTTACATCAGACTCAGGACACAGCAGTTGGTGTCTCTGTCCCCATATCTTGGATCAAACATGAGTCTTCCTTCTCCTTATCTCACAGAGCCCCACCTCGGGACCCAGCCCCAGAGAACACAAGTCTATAGCAGGGCTGGTCTCACAAACTGGGGGAAATACTGCTAGATGCCCATGTGAAAGAAGCTGGCCAGGTCTTGGCTTCAGGGACAAAGTGGGAGGGAACTGAGGATGGGGGCCACTCCAGATCCTCAATTGAGCAAGTCTCTTATGTTATCTGGGAAGAGGCAGCAACTGTGGCTATAAAATCATCCCGTGCTATGGAGAAGGAGCTGTGTAACAAGAACCCCCCCACCCACACACACACACTCAGACAGACACCTCGGACAACCCATTTCTCGTGAAGTCTATGTGTCCCAGAAAATGTGGTCTGCCTCCCACAGGTGACTCACGAGATGGTGCCAGTGGGGAGTATTTTTGTCATCCTGGACGTTTCTGGGAAAGTTTCAGGAAAAGCATAACTAGCATATGATACCCATTCATTCAGGCAATTCTCCTTAAAGGAGGTATTCACACTTTAAGGGTGAGTCACTTCTCAGAAAGCTGTTGAGAGGATTCTTGGCCAAACCCCAAGCACAGGTGAGGTCAAGAAATCAGGGGACACAGGGCGGGGAGGAGGCGTAAGAATGGGAGGTGTGGCCCCACCTCCTGGCCCCCGCATTCAGGACTAGAGGATTGAGGGGGTCACCTTCGAGGGAGCAGAGGTGTCTGGGAGCTGATAAAGCCCCTCAGCTCTGATCTTCGGCCCCTGGGGTACCCAGTCTCCCATCCTCCTCCCTCTGGTACACTGAAAACCACAGCGGGGCCCCGCAAAGCCACAAGTGGTAAGGATGGAGGAGACGTGGGGCATTCAGCTGGATGAGGCAAGGTAACTCATGCCCTCCTCCCATCCCAGGATCTGAGCAGAGAGACATGAAGAGAGTCACGTACCAGACAGATGCTTGGGCAAAAACGTGTCATTCCGATAACAACTACTTTTTTTAAGGTGAAGGTCGCTCAAAGCTGTTTCCTGCCAGACTGGACTTGCACGGCCTCCTGCAGCATCAGGCGGGCCCCTTCCCCTCACCAGATATTGCAACACTAGCTGCACTTTACTGCATCAAGTGACAGGGGTGAGGAGAGGGCCCTGTCCCCATCCCTGCCAGGTCCTCCTGGACAGGGATGGCGGCTGGCAGCCAGCCGGCTCTCTCCTCTTGTGTTGGGCCCATTCTTATCCACCCAGATGATTTCTTGGAAGTCAGGTTTGATACGAGGTAAAGGCTGCTTAGTTTTAAAGGCAGGTGTAAAATAGAGTTAAACTGCAGTCTTGCAAGGAGGGCGGAGCCCACATCTGACAGTCTTGGCTCAACAGCCACTTAGCCATCATGAGCGATGTGGCCTTGGCAGACCAGCTTCCTCCTCTATAGCTACTAGTTCTGCCCATGGAAGGTTACTGCCAAGTGGAAGACTTGGTCCCTGTTATGCTTAGAACCCTGCCTGGCCCTGAGCTTGTTGCTGTTTAGTCACTTGGTCATGTTCAACTCTTTCGTGACCCCAGGGACTGTAGCCCACTAGGCTCCTCTGTCCATGGCATTTCCCAGGAGAGAATCCTGGAATGGATTGCCATTTCCTTCTTCAGGGGATCTTCCCGATCTGGGGATCCAAGCTGTGTCTCCTGCACTGGCAGGGGGATTCTTTACCACCAAGCCACCAGGGAGGCCCCCTGGCACGGAGTAGCTTTGCTCTGATCTAGCTGTCTCCCTCTTTGTCATCATCACCATCACCAGCCCCGTCCTGGACACGCCTGCTAAAGCTGTTTTGCCAGACTCCCAACCGCCCTCAGAAGGGCAGGCCAAATTAATAAAAAACATTTTATGGCATGGGGGTGGGGGAGGAAGTGTGAGAGGCCTGCAGCCTGCAGCTCGCTGGGTGCTCATTAGACACTTGGCCTTGGCCAAGTGTCTGTCCCTGGGCCTCTGTCCACCATCCACAAATAATGTGCTGAGTGGTGTCTTAAGGGCCTTCTAATGCAGAGATGTCGGGACCCAATCTCCTGACAAACTGGTTCACTCAGATGTCATCTACACGCTCCAAATAATCAGAACTATCCCAAAGCTTGGGTCAGATGCTTATTGTCTTCCTTTCTCGGGACCACTTAGAGAGCCCCCCGCCCCACCCACCCATAGCAGTTGCATTCACACAAACTCAGAATTTGGTCAAAAGACACAACGCCAGACTTCGATGAAAAGTGAAAGTGTTAGTCACTCCATCGTATCCAGCTCTTTGCAAACCCATGGACTGTAGCCCGCCAGGATCCTCTGTCCACGGGGATTCTCCAGGCAAGATCATTGGAGTGGGTAGCCTATCCCTTCTCCAGGGGATCTTCCCAACCCAGGAAACGAACTGGAGTCTCCTGCATTGCAGGTGGATTCTTTACCAGCTCAGCTACCAGGAAAACCGGAGAAACTTAATAGGGAGTCGCTAAAAGGATGAGCCTGGGTTTCAAAACTTTCCTTGAAATCTGTTTTTCGGCTTCCCCCAGAGCGGGGTTCACATTTGGGCTCCAGCCTACGCTCATCCACAAGACAGATCTGTGCTCTAAGAACCAGGGCCTAAATGTTTTCCTGTTTGTGTAGAAGGTGGCCCTGGCTGCACTAAAAGCCCTGGTCTAATATTTAACTCACTTTTGCTTCCAGGGCATCTTCCATCAGGTTCCAGCCAGTTCTCCGGTAGTGGATGGCAGGATGTGTGATTCTCTGTACCTTTGAGGTTTCATGAAGTTTTGTGAAGTCAGGAGGAGGAGCCCTGGGGGGCCCAGGAGCCCCTGGATCTGGCATAGTTAGTCCCAGTAAATACCAGTCCATGGAAGGTCCCCAATAAACACTCACTGAATTATATAAGACATTATTAGATAAGAGGTGCTCAAAAAGTACTGAAGTGAATTTCAGCCATTTGAGCATTCGTACAGTAGCTAATAGGGGCTTCCCTGGTGGCTCCAGTGGTAAGCAACCCACCTGTAGCACAGGAGACATGAGTTCAGTCCCTGGGCCGGGAAGATCCCCTGGAGAAGGAAATGGCAGCCCACTCCAGTATTCTTGCCTGGGAAATCCAACGGACAGAGGAGCCTGGTGGGCTACAGTCCAGTCACAAGAGTCAGACAAGACCTAGTGACTAAACAACACCTGTAGATCATAGGTCCTTTTGTTCAGAAATAAAAATTAAATTGTGTGTGTGTGGGGGGGGGTGTTGGCGGTGTCTTGGCACCAGGCAGGTGTGTGGTCTCTCCCTGGCATGGTTACAGCCAGCAGAAATAAAGCGCTCAGGAACCTGTGCGACTGCTCCTGTGCCACAAGTAAGCTTTGCTACGCAGAACTCGCACACCCTGGGAGAAAACAAACACTCCTCTGGGTGGATGTTTCTGAGCTGGCTCGGGGTATGCACAGTCTTGGCAGCCTGCTGTCCCTGCTACTAATCACACCCTTCCCCACAAGCAGATGGCCTGAGGGTCACGTATGGATCATTGTGACGGGTGAGGCTTTTGTTCACCAAAGTACAACTAGTGCTTAGCACAGTACGTAAGACTTAGGAAGCGAAGTGAAAGTCGCTCAGTCGTGTCCGACTCTTTGTGACCCCATGGTCTATACAGCCCATGGAATTCTCCAGGCCAGAATACTGGAGTGGGTAGCCTTTCCCTTCTCCAGGGGGTCTTCCCAACCCAGGGCTCGAACCCAGGTCTCCCGAATTGTGGGCGGATTCTTTACCAACTGAGCTACCAGGGAAGCGCCCGACGCTTAGGAAGTGCTCATTAGATGTGGAGTGAACTAACAGATGGAAAGAGGGACGGATGGAACTCATGTGAAGGACTGTATCCTGTAGTTACATTGTTGTTGTGGCTAAGTTGTATCCAACTCTTTTGAGACCCTCCAGGGTCCTCAGTCCATGGGATTCTCCAGGCAAGAATACTGGACTGGGTTGCCACTTCCTTCCCCAGGGGATCTTCCCGGCCCAGGGACTGAACTCATGTCTCCTGCATTGCAGGCAGATTCTTTACCACTGGGCCACCAGGGAAGCCCATAGTCACATTCAGTTCAGTGGCTCGGTCAAGTCCGACTCTTTGCGACCCCATGAATCACAGATTAGAAAGGGTGAAATAGCAATGAGTCTCACTTTCTATATTATGCATTTCTGTAACTTTAAAAAACCGCAAGTACATGTGTAATTTTCAATGGCCAAGAAAAATTTAAGGAAAAACTCCACTGACTTTCTTTCAGTAAAAGAATCTCTATTATTTGTACTGCTTTGTCCCACCCATGTCTGCCTGTGACTCATGGGGACATGATAAGAATCATGTGAGGGTTTGTCTCCGTCTCCCTCCTGTCTAAGCTGCCCATCCTTCCCATCCCCATTCCACTCCACTGACAATCCCCATCCCCGGGGAGGGCCTCCTCCTGGTTCTCCAGCCTGTTGGTGTAAAACAGCAGAGGAAACTGCCAAAATACCCACTGAGACCAGCTTTGTGAAATTAACATCTGATGGAATTTTACACAGCCCCTTCCTTTTCTTGGCTGCACCGTGAGGCTGGTGGGATCTCAGCTTCCTGACCAGGAATTCAAAGCCCACAGCAGTGAAACCACTAAGTCCTAACCACTAGACTACCAGGGAACTCCCTACACAGCTCTTTTGTGAGAATCACTTTTTGAGTAGTATTTACCGACATGGAAAGTGCTCATGGAATAGCATTATCTGAAAAAATGCAGAACCCCAAATTAGGTGTATGATGCACACCTTAGGCTATGAAAAATATTTAGACAGAAACGGCAAAGAGGAGCTAGAAGAACATGTCAACAGTGATTGGATTTGTGAGTGGTTTCCCCCGTATCCTCTACACGTTTTCAATATTACCAAACTGCAATGAATAGTTCTGATCTCTATAAGAAAAAACTGTTTTTGATTGACTGGGGGAAGCCTATGAAAAGATGTTCAACTTCATTCGGAAATGCAAAGTAAAGGTGCTTCCCTGGTGGTCCAGTGGTTGGCCACAACTAGAGAAAGCCCATGCGCAGCAACAAAGACCCAGCACAGCCAAAAAAGAAAGGAAGGAAGGAAGAAAGAAACGCAACGTAAAAGTGAAAAGGGACATACATTTTCACCCGTCATATTGGCAGGAGCATAGAGACACATCTCACACACCAGTGGTGGGAATGGACTTAGGTACCATTAGACAGTATTTCTTACCATTTGATTGCATCCTGCAGGTTTGTTCACACACACACACAAAGGCAAAGGAAAAAAGTTTTGATGCACTCTGTTCATAACAGAGACTCAGCCTAAATGCCATCAGCAGGGAAGAGGTTGGATCAGTTATGGACCATCCATTCAACAGAGAAACGGCATAAATACTATGGCACCAATGTAATGAACGAGGCCCCTATATAGGCTGATATGAAACAATTTCTGTTTTTACATTTTAAAAAACCCACAGTATAAATCAGTGGGTAAAGGGTGATCCTTTGGGGACACAGAGGAAAAAGCACAGCGTGTGTGTTGTAAATGCAGAAGAAGTTTCTCCAAGAAGATGCATAAGACACCGGTAACAGCGTGAGTCCCTGGAGAGCAGATCCTTCAGGTCAGAGGTTAGAGACGGACTGAATAAACTCGCACTGAATAACCTTTTCTAACTCTGTCATGCTGAGCCATGAGGACGTACTATAATACTTTTCCTAACTTTTCTTTACTAATACTAAACTAGAAATGAAATCAATGAATAAACGAAAACTGTTTAAGAGGATTCAGAAGGCAGAAGATTTTGGCTCCTGGGCATCCTCCAAGCACCCCATGTTCAGAAGACGGTCTGAAAGAGCAGGCTGTGATCTGGCCAAGGACCAAGGGTACTTGCCTGAGGCAGCGTTCCACATCTGGGTCGTTCCGGCAATACTGAAGGCCTCCATGTCTCTGAGCATCCTCGGGGTTGGCAAAAGCCTGGAATACATCAGCTGAGAATTACTGTTCATGAGATGGACGGCCCAGTGGACTAGGTCTGTGGCGATGCAGTCACATACGTGTCCATTCAGCAGCATCAGTGAACTCCTACTGTGTGCTGAGCGCTGGGGACTCATCGTGAACAAGGCTGCTATGAATTAAATGCTCGCGTCCCTGCAAATTTCCTGTGTTAAAACCTAACTCCCCCCCCAAAAAAAACAAAAAAAACCCCTAACTCCCAGTGTGATGGTGTTAGGAGGTGGGGCCTTTGGGAGGTGATGAGGTCATGAGGGTGGAGCTCTCTTGAATGAGATCAACACTCATAAAAGAGACTCCAGAGAGCTCCCTTCCCCCTTTGCAGTGTGAGGACACAGCAAGAAGACCACCATCTATGAACCAGGAAGTGGGCCCTCACCAGACACTGAACTTGCCAGTGCCTTGACCTTGGATTTCCCAGTCTCTAAAACTGTGAGAAATAAATTTTTGTTGTTGCTAGGTCACCCAGTCTCTGGTATTTTTTTGTATAGCAGCTTGAAAAGAGTAAGAAAAAGGCCCCCTTATCCCTGCTCTTGGGAAGCTCACAGTGTAATGAGGGATTTGCCAATGAACCAGAAAAGATCAGGTGGTCAGAGTAAGGAAAAAGAAGACAGGGTTAGCTTTGAGAATGTTCATGGGAGACCCAACCAAGTCTGGGAATCAGAGAAGGCTTCTCTGAGGCAGTGACAGTAAAGCTGAGACTTGAAGGATGTGACAACATTAACCAGAAAATGAGAGGGTTATAGCAACCGCATTCAAGGCATCAGGAACAGCATGTGCAAAGGCCCTGGGGTCAGAAGAAGAACATGTGTGAAGAATAAAAACCCAGCATGGCTGGAGCAGTGACAAGCAAGGGGCAGAGTTCCAAGATCAAGTTAGAGGGGTCCTAGAGGCATCATAAGAATTTAGACTTTGAACTGAGAGCAGTGAGAGAGCCTTGACAGGCCCCAGTGAGAAACCCAGCCCCACAGGAAGTAACTGCAGGTATCTGAACTTTCCTGGGTCTCAGCTTCCTCATCTGTGAACTCCAGATCACACTGAGATCATCTATCGCACGAAGAGCAAGGAAGTCAAGTGGAGATGCCATGGCACAATGCCTGGCGCCAGGAGGGTGCTCGATGAATTGGGACCTGAGGTTGCACACACTCAGGCCATCGAAGTGCACACCTATTGCTCCTGCCCCACCGTTGCCTGCGGGCATCCAGCCAGCCCACCCCGCCAACCCCTCAGCAAACTTGAATCTCTGTAGCATGCTTTCTACATTGCTCATCCAATGACAGATCCTACTGCTTCCAATATCTGTCCCCAGTGTGTTAGTCGCTCAGTCGTGACCAACTCTTTGTGGCTCCATGGACTGCAGCCCGCCAGGCTCCTCTGTCCACGGGATTTCCCAGGCAAAAATTCTGGAGTGGGTTGTCATTCCCTTTTCCAGGGGATCTTTGTGACCCTGGGATCAAACCCAGGTCTCCTGCATTGCCAACAGATTCTTTACCATCTGAGCCAGCAGGGAAGACCCTAGTCTGTCCCCAAGTGTTTGCTTTTCTTCTCCCCATCCCTGTCTGATGGGTCTGGCCCTCCTCATCCTGGAGGTGAATTCAGTGCCTGTCATGATCAGAAGTCTCCACAACCAGAATTCTTCTTTGCTGGCCCTTAAGTCACAGAATCACTGGTTATGATGGCCCTGCACACAGTCCGTGGGCCTGTGACACTTTTCACAGGGTCTTGGCATTCAGTGGGCAGTCAGTCCTAGGTGCCTACAGTCCACGAGGCTGCTCACCCCTGAAGATAGCATGAATACACGTTGGCTGGGCCAGGAGCCGCAGCAGTGCAGGCATTGGAAGCAGAAGCACTGCCTCCAGCAGGGACCGGGGGTGGGGTGGGCAGGCCTTGGGATGTACCCCCACCAGGAGGCCTATGGCCGGTCATGTTAATTCCAATTGTTAATAAGTAATGAAGACTAACAATGGTGGGGGCATTTGCTCAGTGCCAGGCACTGACCTCTCCCGGTACTACGTTGACTATCCTGAAGTTTACCAGTGAGGAAATCAAGCTCTCAGACTTACCCACGGTCCCCAGGCTAATGGGTGGAGGAGCCAGAGCATCCCCGAGTCACCTCCCCATGGGGTAGTTCCCCCAGCTCCTCCCTGGCTGCCTGAATGCAGGGAGCAGGAATGAGAGGGAAATTCACAGGGTTGGGAGAATCCAGGGACAGCCCGAGTGGTTTCCTTCTGCCACGCCCTACTGACCTGACAGAAAGGCACCCCAACAGGTTTGACTCTTCCTTCCCTAATCCACGTGAAAAGGAAAGCTTTGGGCCTAGCACGGCCCTGGGAGAACGCCATCCCCCCATGGCAGACTGTGGGCTCTGGAGTTGGGCACCTGGATCCAAACGCTGCAGTCACAGGCAACATCAGCTGTCAGAGCCCAGGTTTCTGGTGTGGATCAGAAGTTGAATACGGACCCCTCCTCCCCACCATGATGGGGACTAACGCTCACTCCAAGAAGGACTCGGTTAGTCTGTGAGGAAGACTCTGTGAGGCTGTCCCCACGCATGGGGTGGGTACAGGGCAGGGAGAAGTCAGGATGACCAGGGTGCCTCTCTCTGCTCCAGGAGTTTCTTTACCTGGGAGGCTGACCTGCCTTGTGTCCTGTCTGTACCTGCTGAGACTCGGGCCGAGCAAGACCCGACGACGAGTCCCCGCACCGGGCCGGCCACTTTCCCGGGCCGGAGCGCGGCGCCCGCTAGTGCGGGCGCGTGTGCGGGCATCTCTCGGTGCAGCCGCTCCCCGCCCCGGCTTCCCCGCCGACCGTCCACCTTCAGGACGATGTCCGAGCCGGCCTCGACTTGCCTTTGAGCTGGGCAAAGGGGCAGGGCCGGGGACATCTCCTCTCTGAAATACCTGGTGGATAATCAGCTATCCCTCGTGGCGCTCAGGATGGCTGGCGAGCTCGGCCGGAAGGTTTCCCCTGGCTCTGGCTGGAAGCAGCCCTCCCGCCCAGCGGCTCCCCGCGCCCCGCCTCACCCCACAGCGGCTCAGATCTTGGCGTCAATCTTTATTGTTGTTTTGGCTCCGGGACTCCGATCGGTGGGGGAAATTCCTCTCGGAGAACTCCAGGGGAGCCTGGCCCGAGATCTGCCGTGCGAAGGCTGCGGTGGGTTTGGGAGCGACCTCGCCGGGGGCCAGTCGGGAATTTCCACTGAAAGGTTTCTCGGGGCTCCTGCTCGGCCGGTTTCCACCCCACCCAAATATCAGCTCTTCGGTGCTGGAAACTGCCGGGTCAGAGGGAGGCCGAGCGCCCCTGCAGTTTCAAGTGGGACTCGGGAATCTGGCTGTGCCGAGAACTTACCTGGGGACACAGCAAGCGGGTAAAACGCTCTTAAAACGCCGGGCCAGTGCTCGCTTAGGCGGCGCCAATACTGAGACCCGAGCGCTACCGAGGTGAGCACGGCCCCTGCGCAAGGAGAACGTGCAAATTCGGGTTAAAACAAAGACAACCACGGGTCCAGGACATGCGAGCCACAGAGGAGCCATCCCACAGGGCTGGGAGGGGCAGGTCCTTCCTAACCCGCTCCCGCACGCTCCGGGGCCGGGATGACTTCCTGGCAAAGGGTCCGCGACTCCGGCCTTCCCGGCGGCTGCGGGAGACGTGAGCGCACGCACGCGGGATGGGGGTCCCAGAGAGCTGCACATACCTTCTTCCGCAGCCTCACTTGGCCGGTGATGATGGCCACCACGTACATCTTGATGACCAGCAGCGCGCTGCAGAGCAGAAAGGCGGGGAGCACCTGGCCGTTCATCAGCTCCAGGTCGGAGGGCTGCATCTAGGCGGCGACGGTTAGGGAAGAGACCGCGGGCGGAGAGCTCGGGCGCGTGTGTCTCCGGGAGCAGGGAGGGGCAGGGAGAGCGCAGGGAGGCTTGTCTGTACTCTGCACCCGCCCACTCCTAGCCAAGGGCAGCAACTTCGGCTCTCTCGGGTTTTGGAAGTAGCAGAGTCGCCGTGGGGGGTTTGTGGATGGCCGGGGGGCGGGGTGGTGTCCCTACTGGGCCTCTAGCCCCGCCCCACCCCTCCAGGGCAAATCCTTAAACGCTCTCTAGCCTAGGAATTGGAGGGTTGTATGGCCCTGCCTGCCTGCCAGGGGATGCAGCAAAGCCAGGAGCCTGCCCGACCTCCACGGGGTGGTAGATTCACTAACCCGGGCCTCCCTGAGGGTCAGGGCAGGGAGTGGGCTTGAGATCCGAACTCTCTGCCCCCACGTTCAGCCTGGACACTTGAACCACCACCGTAAGGACACTAATGTCACTTTGTTGAATAGTGTGCCCCTCCCCACCTCTCCCCACTCCCAAAGATGTCCAATCTGCATCCTCAGAGCGCGTGTGTATGTTAGGGAACATGGCCAAGGGGCTTTGCAGGGACTAAGTCAAGGTCCTAAAATGGGGAGATTTTCCTGGATTCTCCGTGAATCCAGTTGAATCAGAAGAGTCCTCCTGGCTCAGTGGTAAAGAATCCACCTGCCAATGCAAGAGACACGGATTGGATCCCTCATCCAGGAAGATCCCACATGCTGTGGAGCAACTAAGCCCATGCCCCACAACTACTGAGCCTGTGCTCTAGAGCCTGGGAACCCCAGCAAGAGAAGCCCACACACTGCAACTAGAGAGGAACCCCAGCTCTAGAAAATCCTGCACAACAATGAAGACCCGGCACAGCCAAAAGTGAAAACAAATCAATAAAAAGAAGTGTCCTCCTAAAAAGAGAGGCCATAGAATTGGGGGAGAAAGCTGTGAAGACAGAAGCAGAGGTCAGAGAGAAGAGAAGATACTACACTGGTAGCCTCAAAGGTGAAAGGAAGATGAACCGGAGAACGCAGCCTCTAGAAGCTGGACAAGACTAGGAGAAGAATTCTCCCCCAGAGCTTCTAGAAGGAACCAGCCTTGTGGGTACCGTAACTGTAGCCTTCCGAGATTGATTTTGGGCTTTTGGCCTCCAGAACTATGAGATAACACATGTGTGTTGTTTTATGCCACTAAATTTTGGGTAATTTATTACAGGAACCATAGGAAACTAGCGTACTGTTCTACTGTCTTTTAGTATCACTTTAGTTTTCCAGGAAATTCCCAGGCAAATGGTTTGATTGTTCATTACAGGAACTTCTCAAAAGATCCATCAGCTCTTTGGTGATGATCAACAGTTTGTGAGCCCTTTGAATTTCTTGCTTCAAAATACTTACCCACCTGTGTCTTCCCCTCCCCATAGCCCCTCCCCAGATGTGTGGTGGGACCTCGGCAAAGGCAGTGATCTTGTCACTTTAGTTTTCCAAAGGTGGCTGGCTTTGCTAGGGGGCTTCTCGATGGCTCAGCAGGTGAAGAATCTAATCCCTGGATCAGGAAGATCCCTGGAAGAGGAAATGGCAACACACTCCAGTATCCTTGCCTGAAAAATACCATGGACAGAAGGGGCCGGCGGGCTACATAGTCAGTTGCGTCACAAAGAGTTGGACATGGGTACTCTTTTGCCCCCTTCTGATGCCTATGTCAGAAGCTTTCTCTGTCTCCTTTATACTTTAATAAAACTTTATTACACACACACACACACACAAAGAACCCTTCTCACCCCTGGGTATACGTCAGAATCACTGCAAAGCCTTTTGCCCCAACCAAGTAAATCAGACTCTTAAAAGTCGGGACCAAGTTGGTATTTAATTTAAAATGCTCCCCAACTGATTCTAATGTATGATGAGGGCTGAGAACATTTACGGCCAAAGCTTCCTCAACCTTCCATGCGAGATCTTTCCCTCCAGCACTCACTAGTCTGGGCTTGAGTGATACACAGCCATTAACTTTGTTTCATGCAGGACTCAAGAGGACACCTCCTAAGCCTGCCTTTCCATTCCCTTCACGGAATGGTTGGAAGTAGCCGGCACCTTTCCTCCCAGGAAGGGCTCTCTCCCTGGCCCTGGCTCTGCCCTCCACCCTCGGGATATGCAGCTACCACGGCAGGACCCTCAAGGTAAGGCCGGAGAGACGGAAGCAGAGAAGCTGTGCATGTGTCTTGTGAACACACTAGGTTTTGCCCTGGAGAACAGGAAGGAGTTGTGTGCTGGCAGTGTACTCCATGCACAGGAAGTGGTTCTCAATTGCATTTTTGCATTGAGGCTGGGGTATAATGACCCCCGCCTGGGGTCAAGTTGGTGGTTTCTATAATGTGCTTCACCAACACATTGTGCTGAGCGGAGCGGGGGCGGGCATAGCCCATCCCTGCCTACCTGACCTCTTCACACCAAAAGCTTCTTCAAGAAAGGTGATTTGGGGACTTCCCTGGTGGTGCAGTAGATAAGAAACTGTCTGCCAATGCAGGAAACATGGATTCAATCCCTGCTCTGGCAAGATTCCACACACAGTGGAGAAAAAATTAAAAAAAAAAAGAAAAAAGAGTTGGACATGACTAAGCACTTGCATGAGACCCTGGGGAAGATGGAAAAATTAGTTTCTGGTGCCCATTCTGACCTTGGACCTGCCCAGAAGGACAGCAGTGTCAGTCTGGTGACCCTAAAACTGGGTTCCCCCTTGGTGGGTGTTGAGTCAAAAGACATACCAAGCCAAAGATCAGGAGAAGGAAGGATTTATTTCTTGCAGCAAGTAAGAAGAACACTGAGTATCTTTCCGCAATCAGTGTCTCCCCAACAGCATAACTGGGGAAGTTTTTAGCTGAGGGTATATGCGCATTCATAGAGGGACTTGAGCAGAGGACAATCCATCAGAGAATTATGGCAAAGAGTCCAAGCTCTGAGAGTGAAGCTGAAGTCGCTCAGTTGTCTCCGACTCTTTGCGACCCCTTGGACTGTAGCCTACCAGGCTCCTCTATCCATGGGATTTTCTAGGCAAGAATACTGGAGTGGGTTTTGCCACTTCCTTCTCCAGGAGGTCTTCCCAAACCAGGGTTTGAACCCGGGTCTTGAGCATTGTAAGCAGAAGCTTTACTGAGCTGGGTAAAACACCCTTAAAACACCAGGCCAGGGCTCGCTTCTGTTCAGCTCAGTCCTCAGTCGTGTCTGGCTCTGTGCGACCCCATGAACCACAGCACGCCAGGCCTCCCTGTCCATCACCAACTCCGGGAGTTTACTCACACTCATGTCCATTGAGTCAGTGATGCCATCCAGCCATATCATCCTCTGTCGTCCCCTTCTCCTCTTGCCCCCAATCCCTCCCAGCATCAGGGTCTTTTCCAGTGAGTCAACTCTTTGCATGAGGTGGCCAAAGTATTGGAGTTTCAGCTTCAGCATCACTCCTTCCAATGAACACCCAGGACTGATCTCCTTTAGGATGGACTGGCTGGATCTCCTTGCAGTCCAAGGGACTCTCAAGAGTCTTCTCCAACACCACAGTTCAAAAGCATCAATTC